TGCATTAAAAAAATGTCAATGATTCAAAGTGCTCAACTTAATAATTAATTGTACTGCCTATTAGTTACTCTGTACTATGATGTATTATACATATAACCTATGACAACAATTGTAAGATGTATGTGTATTTCATATTGTTGCTGCTACATTAATTAAACAAGTAAAAGTACTAGCTGAACCTCTGTGTTTACATTTGCACCAAAGAACGGTAGAAAAGTTACAATAGAAAAGCACAACATATGCACTATAAGGGAAATCAAAAACTTCAAAATATTGTTTCATGTCATTCAAGACTTCAAGATTCATGAAACAGTAATGTGGAAAGTTCACAAATTCTGGAATTATACAATCACTACACACTGTGAAAATAAAGTTCAAAATGTTTCTGAAAATGTAATAATATTTTATATTTACCAATATTTTCACATGTAAATTGCAGGGAATTCTGCTCCCCGTCTTTATGTAAAATTGTAATTTATCATATAATTATAAACACTGAATATATTTTGTAAAAGCACACATGTATCAAATGGTTTCTGGACATTATGTTTATGTACACTAAATAATTTTTGCTTTTGAAAACACTCAATCTTTGAACTCATAAATGTTCTCTAATTTTGCTTTGCTAAATATAACTCTATGTGGACTGCATTTGATAGATTAATTCCAATTTGCTCAACAGAATGGTCAAGACCAACTACATAATGTAGTTGGTCCTGAATATGACATAATGAAAAATGACAGCAAACACACATTCGTTCTATTAATTTTATGATTTCATTAAAATTTTGTGTTCAAACTGCTTGATGACTAAGAGATAATACAGTATATCTGGGGTCTCTGTACCTTATATTAAAAGCACAAATCAAGAAATTTGGTTGAGTAGAGCGCTCCAATTTCTTTCTAAATAAAAATCCCTAGTGTTTTAAATATACAGATGATCTGGATTAGTGGGAAATAAATCCCACTGGAATCACTGTCTTATTTTATATTAGTATTATGAATAAATTGTTAACTTTCTAATTACCATTGTCTGTAAAATGTCATGAAATCCCCATGTTTTGGATTCCATGTTGGAGCAAAAACACATTTCCAAAGTCTGTGCTTACAAATGCAACCTTCCACAAAATATTTAGCTAACACTAATTCTATTAATGACCAGTAATTATCTCAAATAAGATTGACTAGTCAGGGCATTTAAATATTTGTAAAGGTTACTACTCACATTTTGTTAAGGTTAATTATTTCATGCCATGTTGTTCTGTTACAATACTTACTTCACAATTTCTACTTCTGAAATAATTAAATTGAGTCTTCATTATGTTTCAGGCTATTTTGGCTGTAATATCATCCAGTATTGATGATCAAAGAAAACAGAGACTGAAACAGCTGATATTCCTTGGAATAGTTGAGTATTCCCCATTGCGTGAATGGATTGCTAAACACAAGGAGATCAAAGAATTATTTACATTTGAGGAATTAACAAAAATGAATTTACCTGTCATTAAAAGCGAGCAATGCCCAGGAGAAATTACAGAAGATTCTTCCGATGTTCCTGATTTACTTCTATCTGCTGACTGGGGACACAACAACTTGGATTTTGCTGGTTATTTAATTATATTTCATTAGCATTATTCAAAGGAATGAATGTATCTTAGTAAGGTGTCTTTTTCACTTGAACTCAAAGAAGAATCAATATCAAATTACATAATGTCCCCTGTATACAGTTATATTGCAATATTTATTATAGCACTTAAGCTTCAAACTTTAATTCGTATTATTTACATGCATGTTTGCTTAATTGACTTGCCATATTTCTTTCATTATTTCTATTAAAGTGTTCATGTTGTTTAATTATTATTTAAAATGTTATCCATCTTTAAAATTTAAAAAACATGGAAAATGTATAAATGGTTAATCTGATCATCTTCACTGCCCTTTCAACATTTGATTCTTTATTTCATTTGTCTGTGTTTGAATAAATGTAGTTTATTTCCATTTAATATATTCTTGTACAGACATCCAATATTTTTATTTGACGTAGATTTATAAGATAGACACTTTGAAATTTCTTTCTCGCTCATAATTCACAGGGTTATTTGTGATGTTGTTTTGAATTGTAGGAGACTCTCGCCTTGAATCAGGTGCTTTGGAACAGCAACTGATTCGTAGTTATGACCACCAGGAGGTTCACAAATTACTAATTAAATTGGGTTCGTTGAATCCTGGAAAAGTGCTATGGAAAATCAATAATAAGGTGAGACTTCATCTTTAAGTAAAATTGTTTCAGTTTGATCTCTTTTAATGTGTTTTTAACTTCAAGTAATAGAATTTATATTTTTAGATCCTTCATTAAAAATGTTTTCTTTTTTAATTTTTTGTATTGTTAATTTATCACAAGTAATACTTTTAATAATATTAGAAAATGTTTTATTCACATAAAAAGCATAGCTTTGCAAAGTTTATCAATTAATGCCATAGTTATGTTAAATTCTTTTGATAAATCCAATCCAATAATAGAATTTGTTTATATCTTGTGTTTGACTTGCGGAAACCAAAAATAAAAACTTCAAATTATATTTATGCAAGGGTTACTTCTGTTACTATTCTTGCATACAAATTTTTCTACATTATTTATAATATTGTAGGTTTCTTAAAAACTTGCGTATTCAGAGCCATATTTTAACAATCTGTTCAACAAAAAGAAGAAAATCTCTGTAATGTATATAACCTTGTTACATTTTAGCTATGTCAGTAAGTGAAACCATATCCTGAATAGTATATGTCAAGCTTGTCCAAAGTTATGGGCAAGTTGAAACATCAAAAACTTAATTGGAGATTTTGGTGATATCTTGGACTAAACCATGGTGCTAAAAAGCTTGTTTTAATTATTTAATTTCATTTTTATTTGAAATGGCTGTTCTTGATAAAGTATTTTTTTTAAATAAATTATAATTTCAATGTCATCCCATGTTGCTTTTTGACAGTCACTATGAATATTTGGAAATTTTCTCAGATGGGTATAACTATGCAAAAAAATATTTGTCATGCATAGTATAATAAAATAAATTTTGTGAATTTTTTTGGGGGTTTGGAATTGCTCAGGGGAAGGATTTGTAACACACAACAGTATATTCCCATGCTCCTTCCCCTAGGTTCCCTCCGTTAAACTACCACCGCCTTCTTCTTTGGCCAACCGCCACCTCTCATTCTAAAATGGTCATCCTCAGTACCTGGGACACGTCATTACAAAGACTCCAATATTATTTTTAATATATGATCTTATCAAAAAATGTTCACGTTTTTAACTACTGAATGTTTGTGGATTTTGCATAAGAACTGAGATTCTTGTATATAATACACATGATTTTTAGTATGTATTTTCTAAACTCGTGGTTTAATTTTAGCTAACCTTGTGAGAGAGGCAGTACTAGTTCTCAAAATCTGGTAATTTGCAAAATTTGAATATAAATTATATTATATTTGTCTGTAATTTATTTGCCTAATTATACTCAAGTAAGCATATTTCCAAATACTTACAATGACTGTCAAGAATCAACATGGAATCTTATTGAAATGATTTCACTGTGATTTGCCACAATCAAATTAAGAGATATGAAAGAATTAAAATAAATGTTTACTTAAGTTAAGAATGAATGAAAGTTCTTAAGCATGATCATCTTCCTTTGGCATAATGTTTTTCATCTGAAGAGTTCTTTTTGTGTTATCAACTTTTTGATTTTTGACTTTAGTCTGATATCTAAAATAATAGTTGTTGTACATAGTGTTAAGTAGAAATCGGCATGTAAACACAAGAAACTAACATCTTTATTCTTTGTGTGAAAGTGGGAATTGCCAATACCTCTACAAGGAGTGGTGACAAGTCTTCCTCGATTTCTTCAAGATTATTGTTACATTCTCCTTGCTAAAGCTCGAGAATTGACAGCAATGAAGGTTAGAAGCAATTATTAATTAGATATTATTGTGTTTATTATTATTTTGATTACTATTTATTATTATTATTATTATTATTATTATTATTATTATTATTATTATTTGATAATTGGCCATTAAAATCTTTTGTTAAGTGTCTATTCAAAGATTGTAATTATAAATGTTTTAACATTTTCTTTCTAGGACTTTGTTGGTGCCCAGCAATTTCTTTCAACAGTGGAGAAGGAAGCTAAGCCTGGCAATCAATTTTCTAACATTTTGTCATACAAGCTCCTCAGACTAGTAGGATGGGAGACCCTGTTGGTGCAAATCACACACTTTCATACAGAGTGGCCATCCTCTGGGATCAGTAAGTTTTTGATCAAAATACAAAATACAGTAATGAAATTGATTATGAAATGTTTAAACACTTTGAAAATTATTGGCTGAAATTAATTTTGGAAGGTCACAAATTTATGTATGATTCAGTTTTCATTTTTTTTCTGTTTCAGACACAGAACAGCTTATTGCTGGCTGCAAGCAGTGCTTGTCGACTTTAAAGTCAGGAGACAATGTGATTCCTCGCTTAGAGATATTGGAGCAATGTGCTCTCTGTTTGTTGAACTTAGGCCAATGGGAATATTTGTCTTTGTTAGAGAAGCGCTGGAACTACTTTGAATTAGCAACAGCTTTGGCAAGTGCTTGCTTTGATGTGGCTCGTTTCAAAGGGAATAAGAAAGTTTGCAAAGATGCTTGGGACATAGGTAAGAAGGCCTGTATGTCTTCAATTCTAGTGAATAAGCTGACAGGTCAATTCTATGTTCAAAATGAAATAATTCTACTTATTCATTTCTACAATTGTGCTTAATCAGAGAAATTAAATTGCTGCTGGCTACTGAGTAACAGGCACATATTTATTTATGAACATAGCATAAATATTGTAAAATCATAATGTGAGAACAGTTGAGATGTCAGATGTTTCATGCTTTAATTTGAGATCATTGATTAACATCAAACAAAGGGAGATGTCGATTTGTTGATACTAGATGATTTGTTTAGATAATCATGGAGTTGTAAGATATTTTGTGCTCTTGTAAAATTTAATTTTCTTAAATTATCAGCTTATTCACAGGGGTCTAAGATATAACGATTTTACCCAAAAATACAACAAATTTTTTTTCCAAAATATCTCATTCGAAAAATATGAGGTCATCATATATTTTCCTATTAAGCCTTGTCAGTTAGAAACCATGTTTTTACATTGCCTTCCCATGTTGCAATACTTATAAATGTTAACATAACAATAAGCAGCAAAGGTAATGAAAATATCCAATGAATCTGTAATACCTAATTATGGTTGCGTAGGCTATATTTGTGGACATATTCTCAATATCCACCACGGATTTGATGGGCAATTCAGGCCAGTAAAGGGAATGAAAATGAATGGCATTGTATCAAGGAAGATGCAATATGAAAATAAATAAATATTGTTGCCAAGTTTTGCTCTACAATGTGTTGACCAAAGAGGTTGTGCAGACTCTAGATGCAACGTGCATTAAGTGCGAATCTACAATTAACAAGACAAAGAAATGAAATCCTCATTGAGAGATGTACACTATATCGAATCAGAGATTAAAGGGTGATTTAAAAATATCTTAACAAAAACTTCCTAATCTTGGAAACTTGCACACATTTCCCACGAAATGGAGGAATGGAGATGTAGGACTCGGTTCACAATTCAAGCACAGAAACATCAAACAATTCAAATTTCAAGTACATTCTGATAAAGAATGTGAAAGAACTATTAAAAAGAACAGAGGCCACAAACAAGAGTGGAACAGGATGAAAATCTGGTGATAGAAGGAAATATTCTTAGGTGATGTCAAAAGAAGACTAAAAATGTTAATAGAATGTCCAAATTTTTTAAAGGAGACTAAAAATTACTACAGTATGGGATGAGAATCAAAAAGAAAGAAACAATGACACATGTTGATGAAGTGGGTAGTTACAAAATACATGATTATTATAATTTAAAGAACTAGAAAATAGCAATAACTCAGGCAATAAGTTTTTACATTGAAACAATTTCAAACCAATTCAAGATTTTATTTTGACTAACTAGTAAGAGTTAGTTAAAAATCTAAAAAATTCCCAGACCCTTTCAAAATTTGGGTTGTTTTATATTCAGGTAAATGTGGTATACTGGTTGATATTTTAAGGTGGTAAAACTTCACAACTCAAAATAAGCCGGCTGTGCATGGAAAGTGACTTTCATTATCATAGAATTGAGTTAATGGTATTCTGTTCTGTTGTAGTTTTGCCTGTATTTGGGCCATCGCAACAACAGAAACGATCATCATCAGGAGCTGCTTCCATTATGCATCGTGACTCACCAACTCATTGTGGATCTGTTACCACACGTGCCGGTCTCTACCAAGTACTGGCAACTCTGCGTGACCCCATTGCCCTTGCAGTTGCCATCTCCCTACTTGCAAGGCTGAACAATGTGCTGCGAGATGAACCCACTTTTGAATTGAATGTTGAATATACTGGACTTTGGCCTGCCACAGTCAGCAAGTATGTTACTGAAATCACTAAATTTGTAATCTTGTAGTATTTGACTTGATCACAGATGTTGTTTGCTAGCCTCTAGGGAATAGGTTTTGAAAAATAAGAAGTAGAAAGAAAGAAAGTATAACTTGAAAGGAAAAATTACAGGACCCACAAGCTTGAGCTAAAGCTAGATTGCTATGATCAGAACTTCCGAGTAATCCTGTGTCTTATTGCCTTCTTCAATATTTGATGAGACTGAATGTTTCTTCTTGACTCGCTCATCTACCATTTCATTGGACTAGACAATTCCACCAAAGTGCCTCCACCCACTCTCTTCTTCCAGGCTCACTTTGAGCCGCACAAGCAATGGGCCCCACTTTTTTGCCTGCATGCAAGTGCTGGAACATGGCACACCAAGTGGATGGTTCACTTGAGCTGCCCTGTGTGTAAAGGGAGAAGAGCTTGCTTTCATGACAAAGAATGTTTTGAACACTTATATTGTAGTTATTTATTTTGCATTTATGTTATTTGAGTAATTCATAGACTGTCAGAAAAGTACTTGTGGATTCAGTAATCCATGTTAAAATCCTCTAATGTGTTTTTGATGGATGTGTGATGTTGATGTTATCTATGAAGAAACAACAGAGCCAAATAGGTAACGAAGCCTTGGCATTAATTTAATTGATAATAGTTGTATTTTCAGTCAAAATCATATTATTGCACAGGATTAGACTATTGTTTCACATTTTTTACTGTTGAGTACAATACATATTTTTTTAAATTATCATTATTTAAATGAGAGAAGGTTTTGTATGAAATATCCAAATATTGCGTGTATGCTCAAATGGAAAATCTTTCACGTTTTAAAGATAGTGTTATCAGGGGGATGCAAACATCTAAGATGATGTGTAAATTTGCATTTGTGAATTAAAATTCTTAGCCTGGGATTAAATTTCATTGGGTAATATATCCATCTTTATGTTCCAAGAACAATGAAATAAATTATGATTGTAAAATTGGAGGGGAAAAGAAGAAAAAAGAAAAAGGAAAAAAAAGAAGAAGAAAAAAGAAGGAAAAAAAAAGACACCTATTTTTAGATAACTTTATGAAGATACTTCAAACTGTGAAATTCAGGAAGAGGAGGTTAAAATAAAATTCATCTCATGAGGGTGTGGGTGTGTGTATTCAGGGATTGGAGAAAGGATTTAGAAAAATGCAAAATTTTCTTAACGTATTTTTGGAATGGCCCCAAAATTATCTAAGAAATGTCAAATTATTATTTGTTGTGTATGTAGTACTTTTTTTATTTAAGAAATTGAATATTTGAAGGTTACAATTCACTATAGTCTTTGGATTTGCCTTTTCTAGCCTCAAATCCTCATTTTATCTGTTTCTTTGGGGAAGCAAAATCTATTAAGTGACCAAAAGTTGACCCTGAAACTCAAAAAATATGTTCAAAAAGTTTTCGTTAATTTTTGTTTTCTTCCGGTCGTTAAACCTCTTTATTAGTTTGCCTTTTGACACCAACAATACTACCACATAATCTTTTTCATAATTAATTTTTTCATGTGCTATTTAGAAACTCCTTTGAAATTTTTCAGGAATGCTGTAATGGACTTCCTACTTACTCATGTGACTTTTCACCCATTGAGTCTTATAGACTGATGTGAAAAAGATTTCTTAATAGTTATTTTATAGCATATTTCAATACTGAGTAAATGGTTGTGAAATGTAATATGCTTGTAGGTGTACAATGTCATGCAGAATGTTGATTATTACAGATAAGTTCATAATTTATACTTCTTTTCAGTGCAAATTCTTATTATGCTCGAGCTGTGAGTGAAATGTTGGGACAGCTGCTGGCTTTATCTTTGCGATTTCACCCCACAAATACCTCTTGGTTGAAGCTTCTTGCTGACTTGAATTTTGGTAAGAATGTAAAATTAACACTTATTATTTTAATTATATTTATTTTATTTTTTAGATTGCTTTTTAACTACTTGGTCATGTAGTGACCACTGTGATTGCTTTAACTGTAGGACGAACACAGAAGGAAAACACACGTATCTATGCCTGAGGTGGGATTCGAACCTGCGACCCTTCGAGCTGAGGCAGCCATGGCCCTCCAGCCATAGCGGCCTCGGCTCTCCAGGCCAGCTATATTCACTTTTATTAATACTATTATAACAATAAAACTTTGTTATATTTCCTGAATTGCAAGTTGCTGTCAGCCATCTAAAAGTTTTTATATTAGCCTATTTCAGTGAAGAAATTTTATGCATTGCAATAATTAACAATTTTTAATTCAAAATAAAAGTTCTTTTAGGCAAAAATATTGAAAAATGTGTATATTTTTCTGTTCAAAACCTTTAAAATATGCATTATATGCAAAAAGTGTTCTCACATTTAATATTTTGCCACACAATATAGAGATTTAAGTTTCTCACAGAACATGACCATTAAGAAAAAATTGTCATTGCATGAACTACCCAGCTTATTCTAGTCACCTCTAGAAGGCTTGCAGTTTCAAGGAGCATGCTATTAAGTTCCAAACAAGAATATAAGGGCAAGGCTTACTGTGGAGATAAGTATTATAAAATACTACTCTTTACTCTGTCTTTCACTTCATTCATGTAAACTAACGTGGTTTACAAATAATGACCTGTCCATGCCCATTGCTTAATCAATTTTTCTAAATTGCTAGACAAACTTCAGGATCTTTTTGTTAGTGGTCACAATATTATTTTTTCTATAAGAATGCCAAAGTAAAAATGGAAAATTAAATTGAACAACATGAAGTTTTATGACGAATATTTTTTTCAGTTCCAAAAGCAGCTCTTTTTTCCAAGAAATCTAAAATTAGAAAAAAGTCGTTTTTGTAAAGTTAAAAGCTCTTAAGCCTTAAGCGTTAGAATTTTCACTGAGACTCACTGTTCTTAATCGGTCAAATCAACCATTAATGAAATACGAACTTAGATCAGTGTCAGCAGTATAGAAAAACATTTTAATTGCTTAGTTACACACAATTGTTTACAACACAATTTATAAAAAAACAAAAAAAACATTTGTCACACTTCCATCACTTGGCCTAATTTTTCATGTTCAATGCCTCCAGCAATCAAATATTTATATTTTATGGCATCCTGTATTTTTTTCTTTTTCTCTAGTGTTTACATATAAATTAGGCTCTTCTTGTATAATGTCTTGCTTCTTAATATGAAGAAGGGCCTTATGGTACTAATCTCCACAGTAAGCCTTGCCCTTATATTCTTGTGCGGATCTTAACAGCAAGCTACTTGAGACTGCAAGCCTTTTAGAGGTTACTAGTAAAAGCTAGGTAGCTCATGCAATGACGCTTTTCTTAACGGTCATGGTTTGTGGGAAGCTTAAAATTCCTATATTTTGTGGCAAAATATGAAATGTGAGAACACTTTTTGCATAAAATACATATTTTAAAGCTTTTGAACAGAAAAATAAAAGCATTTGTCAATATTTTTGCCTAAAAGAACTTTTATTTTGAAGTAAAAATTGTTAATTATTGCAATGCATTAAATTTCTTCTTTGAAACAGGCTAATATAAAAACTTTTAGATGATTTACAGCAAGGGCCCACAAAGTGAAATTTGATGAGATATCTCATAAATATAGAATGGTAATGGAGTCATCGATGAATTACATAATGGAAAAAAGGGAAACCAAAAATGATTGTGTATCTTATTTAATATTATTGTATACAGTAGTATCCTTCTATTACTGACAATCACACAATTCATGTTTACCATCATAAAAAAATATTTTATATCATTAGAGTTTTTGTTACATCATACTTTTTGTTTTTTTCCTTTGTTTAATTCTTGTAATTTTACAATGTTATTCTAAATTTGATATATTAAAATGAAAGAAAAAATATTGTAATTTTTAAAAATTTGTGTACCAGGTCATCTGGAGATGCGACCAAGATGGGGTCACAAAAGTAATGGTTAATGCAAATAAAACATATGTAACTTAAAAAATGAATTATTTGATTGTGTGTAACATGAGGATACCACTGTAAGCAATAATACATAATGGAAATTTGGACTACTTAGGATCCCCCTTGTCCCCTGTAATAATTATGTATTAACACTAGTCTCCCCCATTGTATTGTTAGTAAAACCCCACTTTTATTTCCTACTATTGATGTAGTTTTCATTCATAAGATTGATGTGATTTTTGTGTGCACTCTTATGTCATAAGTCGGGTTTGAACCCGCTAACTTGGGTACAACAGTCCAGTACGCTAACCGTTACACCATCGCCGCCTTAAACCCGCCGCTTTAAACTATTGTTCAAGGAAAATATCACTATAATTTTTTAATATGATCTATCCAGTGTCGTTAATTATTGCTGTTTTGAAATAGCATTTCCTTATGCATTAATTTCTAAGTTAATTGTTATACTTTTCTTATAGTTATGGGACACTATGCTGCATCTTTGAAGTGCTATTTGGAAGTGGCAGTTTTGGTCAGTGATTTCTTCAGTCAACCTTTGCCACGTGGTGTTATGGATGATCATGTTTATCGAAGAATGATAAAATGCTGCACAAATCTTCAGTGTCATACTCAGGTATTTTCAGACCATTGGTTGATTAGTAATAATTTTTTATTTATCAGTTTTACTTATTTTGCTATAACTGAACCTAGTAAATTCAGACCAGAATTTGATATGGTAATATGTTTGTAAGTAGGAATAACAGCCTAGAAATAAGACTTCAATATCTAATGTTTCTAGTTAAAGATCTTGCCTGAATGACAATGCTTTATAATTAGCATTTGCAGAACATTTTTCATCTTGATGTATACTATGAACATCTAATTTCAATATCTCACTTTTATTGTGCTACATTTTTAAATTAATTCCTCTAAAAAATTGTTTGGGTGTTTTATTGGATGTGTCCGAGTGCATAATGGAATGTACTGGTTTTTTTATTACAGGCAATGTTTAATATTGCTTTCAAAAATAAATAAGTACCATTTATTTTTCATGGCATATACTCGCTTCTTTCAACCTCCAATATTTAAAATAGTAACTATCGATAAATACAAAAAAGTTGATTGATCCACTGGCAATTTTTTATCAAGCACAATTGCAAATTAGTATTTGTTTCTTTTCACAGGCAGCAGTACTTTGCCAATTCCTTGAAGAAATAGATTATTCAACAGCCTTCAAATCCCTTGGAGGATAGTAAAAGCAGTGAAGTTGTGATGCAATGGATGCATATTACAATTGTATATGGGACACAACTATCTTGGAATATTTGTTCATTTACATAGTAAACGAGGAGAAACGCATCGAAAGGCAACAAGCAGTATGTTCATTATTTTTAAAGTATCCTCACTAAAAGAGAAAATTAATATTTTCTCTCGCTTCAAGTCCTCTATTTCTTTTTTAATTTTCAGATTAAAGTTATTGGCTTGTTGGAACTGAATGCCAGTAATAATGAAGAGATTCAACGGGAAGCAGCTAATGTTCGCAAAGCTAGATTTATGCGAGCAATGCAAGACAATACTTGAGTTGAATAAAAAAATGTTTATTATATTTTGTACAGCATTTCATGTCCTCATGTGTTAAAGCATGCAGAAAAAGAACAGTTTGAGATTCATTCTTCAATAATTTCGTTGAGTTCATTTGGGTCTCACAAATTTTGCCTCCTTTTTGTTTTAGCGGTAGCTTTCTCATCAGCCTGCAACAAACAAACTTGTTACCACTCCACTCTGACCATATGAATTGAGCATACATTATAAAACTAGTTAACAAGTACCAATCAAGACTTTTCTGAAGTACTATTTATTGTATTCAAAGATGTATATACTTTAAATTACACAAAAATTAAAATTTGTTCTTGAAGCAATCTTACTTTTCTTTTGTTTGCAGCATTGTTAGACTAGTAGTACTTTAAAGAAAGATTCCAATCGCCCTTGTGTGGAACCACCCTTGCCTTCATCAATTTTTTTGGCCCCATTTCGTACACGATCTTCATTGGAAGGCCTTGTCTCACAAAGATATTTTACCAATCCTCTTCATCAGGATCATTCCATTTCAACTGCAACAAAAAAATAATTGAAAATTACGGTAACATTCAATTAATAATCTTGTTTTTATAATGATCTGATCCAATTCCATTAAATTCTTGTTTAAACAGTTAACAATTCTGGTGATCAGGCTGTCGCGGTACGCCGCGTCGAAGCTGAGTTGCCGACGTTCGACATCCTGTCGTGGTCTTCTTCAGGGCTGGTATGGCGTACCCGGACAGCCCAGATCACCCACATGACTCGGTCGCAGAAGCCTACGACTTCAGTTAACAATTCTGCTTATTGGCAACCGTTTGTTGTTTCCTGGGTGTTTACAAACCCAGATCCAAAGAAATGTTCTTCAATGCCTCCATCTGTTATCTTCATACTAGAGTTTTTTTTTGTGTTAGGGGTTACATCTTTCAATTTTTTAGGCCAAACATTAGTTTTTTTGTTTCTGTTTGAGCATTTTTCAATAACACATTTCCCCATTTACAACTTTCAAAATTTTCAGTCCCTTGAAAAACATGCTAAAAAGATTCCTGTCTTGACAATTAAGTTCAATAAATTAGACTATTGATCCCAATTGACTTTCTATACATTTGTTACTGATACTAATTAGGATTGTCTATACCAAAGGGAAGAATCCATAGGCAACTCTCACATTTGACTAAATATTTCTAGAATCTAGTACCTTGAGATTTCTTTTTCAAATAATACTAATTTAAATTATTAATACTACAGAAAGAATGAAATTCAAATGTCCTTTTCTTCATCTTTCATGCAATTAATAAATCTCATTGAAAAGGGCAACTATCGTATAGAAGAATTGTCAAAGGATGAGCCACAATGACAGTTGGCCAAACAAGAGAACATCCCGTGTAATTCAGAGACATATCCCTCCGCCGCGACAACTGTTCATCTACACCTCTTTATAAAGTGTTTATGTTTGTTTATGGCTCCCGTTAAGGCATCATGGCTTCTCATGGTTCACAACCATATAAATATATAACACAAAGCCCAGAACCATGAAACACACTCGATCACAGCTCGCTACCCTACAGCACAGGAGCTGGAAACACCTGCACCAGTACTCATCTTATATTCAAGATTTATCACACAAGAATTAAATTCAATGTAATATTTATATGAAAATATTTTTTTACAGATGAGCATGTAGCACTGCACTTCCTAATTTTAATTACCTCTTATGGCACACTATTTTCATTGGACATTGCAAAAGGAAGCATCAATGCCATTATTATTAAGTTAGCCAAAAGCAAACAAACGAATAGACGAAGCAATGAGCTCAAGGACACAACAACCACAGAACCTTCAGTTATGTTGCCAGCCCTAGCTGTCAAAACGGTTCTTTCTTATAAAAATCTCCCTATAATGATAGATTTGATTTAGATACATCCAACTACTACAGAATAGGCCAGAAATTTCCTTGCCTCAATTGTTTCAGGATCAGTCACATCAGGTTTCACGAAAAGTTCATGAGCTTCTTTGTGCAACCAGTCAGCAGGAGGAACATATTTCTTGGTATCAATAGCATTGAGGACACTTTCAATATTACGATGTTGACGAATCAGCTCAATGGCCCTTTTTGGTCCTATGCCCTTTATACTATCACAATAATCACACCCTAAAAGAATGCAGAGATCAATGAACTGCAACAAAGAAAGATTCAAGTTAAACATTTTATGCACATAATAAATTCACAAGTATACCAGTTTAAGCCTATGTATTTAGAATTATGCAAAATCATGACAAAATAACAATTCAGCAAAGTTTTATACCTCATCTTGTGATAGATTTAAACCCTCCAAAACACGACTCAAATGAAATTCTTGAATAGGCATCTTACGAGCTTCACTGAAAGTCATATGCCTAAGTAGCACTGTGGAACCAAAAGTGAGGGCATCCATATCTTCTGTCGCTGTAGCGTAAACTTTTCCAGCCTTTACCATTGCAGCACATTGCGCTTCAGCTTCGCAGGGAGCCTAAAGAAGAGAAAGAGCTAATGGATTTCCACTGATCACTTGGCTCTTGATATGCAACTTAAAATAAATCCCAAAATAAATTAAATCCACAATTTGGAAACAGTACAAGAAGTATAAAATTGTAAGAGGAATAAAAGAAACCAATCTCGGGTACAAAATGCAGGATTAAAAAAATAGAAAAGAAAAGAAAAACATCCAGCAAACATCCTACAGCTAGACACACAATAAATTATTTTCAGTAATTGCAACACTAACATCTCCACTTCATAAGATAATATTAAAAACAATATTATATTAAGACAAATTCCTAGAGGTCTTTTACCTCGAATTTTCTTCGATTCTCACAAACTTCATAATCATTTCATTCTAAATGTACACATTCTCTAGTAACGCTTGGATTTGATTATGAAACATATCAGTTGTAAGCTTTTGCCATCCCCCTTCTTTTTTAAGTAAAGTGATCCTGATGTATCCCAAAAAACACAGATGTGACAACAATGCCTAACAAATTGTTTAGCATTTGACATTCCAGCCAACAGTTTCTACTCCACCTTTGGTGGTGGATCGGTGGTGCTGAGTGGATCGAGTAGCTCAGCAATGCTATTGTCAGTCCCAAGCCTGAATAAAGGAGGCTATTGGGTGAGGCTAGCGACCGGCCTGATGTAAAACAGTTAGAATGCTGATAGTAAAAAGGATATGCCTCGGAACATAGTTGACAACAATGACACGAACATGGCATGAAAAAAGGGAAACTAAACTTTTTATAAACTGAAACGTTGCAATAACAATCATATTGGGCCTTTTCATCATTCACACTTTGTCTCTGCTCGATGCATAATTTTTACTACAGAAAAATTCTGAAAGAGTGATTACTGACCAAACATTGTTCTATGAATATATAGTCGAAACAAGACTGAAGACCAATTTCACAAGGCACACAAGCTCCACGCGAAAGAAGAGCAAAAGATACGTGCACATACACAGAATTAGTGTTCTGTTCCACATAAGGAAATTTGTACAATTCTTTTGGGAGATCAATGTTTGTTGTAGACATCTCAGCCAAGAACATATATGGGAAACATTCCTTTTTTAATAACACTAGATTTTCAAATATTTTCTTTTACCTCAATATAAGGAATACCCATTAAGGCCAATAACTGTTTACATTCATCCATATGGTTTCTTGTTACTTTCACAAGTCTTCTGTTGAATTTATCCACTTGCTCAGCATCACCTGGAGAAAATAAAGTATTAATATATTTAAAATAAACTCGCTAGTCATGAAGAATAATATAAATTCCCATCATTTTACACTAGTTTGTAAATTATGAGAACAAATCATGAAATTATGATTAATGACAAAGCCTGAAGTGAGATAATAAAAATGCAATTTATGCATCTGGAGACAGAATACATGGGGGCAAAATTACCAAGACCTGTCAACATCAATTTTCCAATGCTAATGAAATGAACAAAAGGAAATATTCCTTTCCTATAATTTGAATCTGAAACACACTTGCGTAATAAATTTTTTATCATCTCAAACCTTTCATAAATTCATATGTAATGTAAATTGTAAAATTAACTATCACACAACAAACTTAATGGACAGGGCGTTGACTCTGTGGCAAACCCTGTATTATTACTTTTTTGACTTGCTAACGTAAGAAGAGAAATTTCTTCGTTATTCGTTTATTGTAATCGTGTGGCGGAAAACTGGGAATTTTTGACACAAAAACTGCTGGGCCCTGGTAATGAAAAAGTGAATAAATCCAGTTTTTAAGTTTAGAAAAACTTCCTCTAACATGTGGTATACCCAGAATCCATGTTCCTTACTGAAAAATCAATTGTCTGTCTTAGCAACAAAGCTAGCACATAAACCGTTCAGCTGATTTTCTAAAAAATTATATTCCCAATTGTAGCTAATGTTGCAGCCCTTGGGATTTGAAATCAGTATTTTAATTTTAGGGTGTTCTTTATACAAAGCCCTGGGACATTTCAAAACTAAAAAAAATAATTACATAGTTTCCAAATTTTTTTATTAAAAAATTTTATTGTTGAAAAGGGCAAAGCACTTTTAAGAAAATAGTGCAGGTCTCATTTTCTTTGACATCCCCAAATATTTGAAAATTGAAAAGAAAAAATAAAAGTTTAAACTTCAAAATTTAAGATAGAGATGTTGCCTCAGACAAAGTCTTGTTTGTACAAAATTACCTTTTCAAAAAAAGGTCATGTATAACTTTTAGAAAAAACGAGTAGAGAATATAGTACAATACACAAATGATAAAATTCAGAGTACTCTTTTTTAAGGAATTCTGATCACCATATTTCCTTTTTTAACTTTTTTTGACACAATAATAAGGAAAAGAAGTATATTTTTACTGAAGGAACATTGAAGGTTTTCAAAATTTTACAGAATAATTTAACAATATACGGTTCACTACAAGCATTTGCTATTGTTTGAATAATATTTCTGTGTACTTGACAGGCAGGCTAGCTAGAGAGAGTTTTTTTTTATTATCCAATCAGAGGCTTCGAATCTGCTTACATCACAGCAGAGTTGCCCATACTAATAAAAAAAAAAAATTAAAGAAGAAGAAATCTAGTGTGAAGCAACTCATAACTTAAAAGCACCAATACTACTTTGGTTACACATTATATGATCAGTTCTGTGGTGTCTACTGCTGTGTGCTGTTATGGCAATTTGTTTCTTGCTACTGTTGTGATTTGATGCAAGAACGACCACACAACCATATGTCTGCTGCCCAAGTAAGTGGCAATATTGCTTTACCCCCACCTCAGCTGTCAAGTAGACAAAAATATTATTCCGATTATAACTCATCCAAATTATTTCAAAGCATGCCTGCTTCTTCTGCTTTCTCCAAAGCCTTCTGAGCCTCTTCTCTCCGCTCTGCTCGTTTATTTAGTTCAGCTGATTTCAACTGAGGTGGTTTGCCATCAAACACATAGACAGGTTTGATACCATTCTCTACTAAACGAATTGTTCGATAGAAGGTACCCATCAAGTGACTGCGACATATCGAAAACATTTATTAGAAAATATTTAATACAGTTTATTTTGTTATTTGAATTGCAATTAAATAAAAAATAAATGGAATGCTAAATAAATTTACTTAATTTTTAAATAAGTCTAAAAACTAATCTGAACTCTACACGCTATTAAATAAATTTATTTACCCCAAGACAAGTCTAAAATGTAATGGAGTATTGATAGCTGTTCAAAGATATCTATTGTAAATAAGCTGACATTGAATCAATAAAATTAAAATTAACAATTTCTGTATTCAATGTAATGCAGCAACAATCTTTATTGGACATAGATGAGTGCACTGTAAACAAAATATATTGGGGTATCATAAATTTAAATAAATAATAAAAAGAGACCTATAGAATTCACCTAGTGGTTTCGCCATCGGCCGATGTTAATTGAGCTCCCTCGCTTCTTACAGCAATCAAGAACTGGTACAAACTCATAGAAGCATCAATTGCAACTTTCCGACCTACAGTATAAAAAAAAAACAATTACTTCAAATTTCCAATAACATATTTTCATTTGATAGGCTGTCGACAACAAACTAACCAAAGTAATTCTTGATTTCATTTTCTTTTACCGAAGATGGAGCGATATCAGCAATAAGTTTGGCTAATCCCAAAATACCCATTGTAGAGGTGCGGGGCAAAAGTGATTAAAACACACAAAACGCAATTCTTTCGATGGTCTGGCGCTTTAAAACACTATAAACTACAACTTCACAACATAGATGCGGGCAATCCTGGGACAATCATCCCCACTACTCGTAAAGTGCGGGAAAATGTAATTAGGTATTTTGTTCTCTTTGGTTCTGATTGGTTTGAAGTGACAGATGACATGCGATCCGCGCACAGTGCCGCTATCGAGACGAGAAAGTCGACTGGAGCCAATTCGTCGAGCCCGTTCGAGCTGGATTCGACCGATTCGACCCACCGACAACATTCGCGAAACTGTACTGGCAGAACAGCGGGGAATAGTTGGTGATCATTGACAACTTTTGACAAAGGTAATTTTTGGTTTGATTTTATTTTCGACAAAAATCAGATAAAACAACATATGATGTGTTGGAGAGAAGTGTAATATGTGCACGTTTCCTTGAGCTACGGAATCTCTTCCTCACCTTTTCTACACAAATAGTCGAAAGGTGAATACAAGTACCGTCAAATCGAGGTTATAACTAGACATTTTTACCCCCAAGCTGTAGAATACTCATTTACGTTAATGAACGAACTACAGATTTGATTTTGGAGTATTGCTAAGAAAATGTAACTCATACCCCCGTATTCTACCTCTTCCACAACTAGCAAAATGTGAGGGCAACGAAACTTGTGTGTAAAGTGAAACTCCACAAGGGCCCATCGCAGCATTGGCCCAGTGGATCAGGGAAACTGAGCAAAGACGTGATCAAAATGGGGGTAATCAACCCAGAAGCTATTTGTTTCACGAATATGAAGTCTTTCTAAAATTGTACAATACAATAATGTAAGCCAATGCATTATGTATCTTTTTTTTAATGAATATTATTTTCTGTTTTGATGGTCAGTGTAGTCCCAAATTGTAAAGAAGCAGTAATGCAGCAGAAAAGATTTTAATGTGTACTTAAACGTACAGTGGTTAGGTGGAAGACCAGGCCTGATGTCCACCTAAATAAAGTCACTCTTATTATTACTATTTATTAAATGCGTATATCAGTTGTGATTCTTTGTCACCTGGCAATGTGTTGTAAAGTAACGTACACATATTATATGTGAATTTCTTGTAAGGGCTTTTAATACTGACACCTGATGAATGTGATTTCTACAGCATCTGATATAATTATAAATAAAAGTTTTGCGTGAAAGTATGATCTCACCATTAAGTATGTCAAATTTTGACAAAAACTACAAATTTGTAAGTAAATAGGTAAGACAATGGTTAAACCCAAAATTCAGTGAAGAGAGTATTGCAGGAATCATGTGGGTGGCATTTGCTTCTTATTCATATAATTTTTTTCTGCAATTTAAAAGTCTGGGTACTGTAGGATGCGCTTCCCCAAATTATTATGCCTTGTGTCAGGTGGGAATGTATGGTTTTAAAATACATTCAATGAGCTACATGAAAGCTGAAAGAATTCTACAATAGTGTGCCAATTAATGTGAACAAGTCTTGATTTCAACTTCTTTTAATAATCCATACAGTATTTACAAAATATTGTACAATTAGTATGAAATGTGTCTACCCCCTGCCTTCAATAACTATACATTTTGACATAGAATGAACCAATTTGTGACACATTTTTGCTTCATTGTCTTTTAACCATACTCTGATTAATGAAGAAAACATGGTTTCTTTGTTTGTGCAGTTCATTTTGCGCATTCTTCCTTTAAGGATAGCCCATAAATTAACTCTATGGGTCTGAGGTCTGGTGAATTTCGAAATGTCTAAAAGCTTAACATTATGTTCTTGGAAACATTTAGTGACTTTTTGTGACCTATGACAGGAAGCATGATCTTGTTGAAAAATGCCATTTTCGCCCGGCCACTCGTCATTGAGAGTTCCAATCACTGATCTTCTAACAATCTCAATGTACTTATTGGAATTCATCATTCCATCAACTGGAACAAGTGGCCCTGGCCCATGAATAGAAAAACAACCTCAAAACATTTTCTTAATGAGGTATTTCACACTTTGGTCAATGGGATTTTGAGAAAGTTTCTCATTATGTGATTTTCTCATGTACCATTGACCCTGAACAATAAAGTGTGTTTCATCTGAGAATAAGACATTCTCCTAATCTTCTTCATTCCATTTCTCATATCTTTTGGCCCAAGATAATCTTTTGATTGCAATGGTCAAAAGCTGTTTCTTTTGAGGTCGAACGCCCTTTCCTCAGCTTCCAAAAGCCTGCGTTGAACAGTAGAGTCATGAATATGAACATTCGATCGTGCTGTTTGTAGTTCAGTCTGTTTGTATATCAAAACTTGTTAGCCTAGGGACTTTGTTTGATTTTCTGAGCAAAAGTGAGTCATCCCGTTTTCCATTTTCTTCCACACTTTCCTCTTCGCTAGGGTGAAACACTACCAGTTTCTTTAAATTGCTTAATAATTTTGTTGACACCTAAGCTCACGTCACATTCTTTAGCAATGTCTCTTTGTATCATACTAGTATGTTTATATAATGTGGCTATCTTACTTCTTTCCTTTGGAGTGAGATCCATACCTTGCGTTTGACAATAATGATCTATCACTCTTCACAAGATTAAATCTTCACAGAAACGAGCAAGAACACATTAGTAAACACAAATAACAATATAACTAAGATAAATAAACTGTTGAGACATGCTTTCGGGCAATAATTCACAGTAAATCAGGGTTGCCAAGCTCTGAAATTGAAATTATTTGAAAATTATGTCTTGTTCACATTAATTTGCACACTACTGTAATTATGTAACATAATGAATTTAATTTAGTGTTCAATTAATTAATGTGCTTATTCCATTTGAGGTTTAATTGAATTGAGAGTCCCAGAAGTGTTATCTTTACAACAGCCAAATGCGTATTGTTCATTTTCAGTGGCAATTGCGATTGTGTTTGAAATGCAAAACTGCAATGAAACTGTTTTTCCTTCATGAACTATTGTGAAACCAATTTAAAACTTCTGAAATTGTACTATTTATTAAGAAGTTTCCACTCATATATAGAAAAGCCTCTCTAATGTTTGTGAGAAAACCAGTTATAGATTAATTGGTCGATAATTTTGAATTTCAGTTTTGTTGCCTTTTTTAATAAGTGGCTTCAATTTTGTTGTTTTGAAAATATTTGGAAATATCCTATGTAGGTAATGGTTACTGTTGGATGGTTACTGATGGAAGATGTTATTGAATTTTAATTATTACCCAAAAATGAAGTAGTCATCCACAGATCATTAACTGATGTTCTAATTCATGTTAGTTGTCATTCATTGAATTACCACTATAAGACAAAATTAAATGAAGTTCTGAACAATCAAATCAAAGTAATTGTTGAATTATACTAGATAAATCACAGAATAGTAGTACATAATCATCTTAATTGTGTTTGTTCTATATGGAATGGTAAAATAGTAAATAAGGGTTTGTGTGTAGTGTTTTTGCTATTAACCTTCAATATTGAAAAGCAGGGTATTATTTAGATGGTTGGTTTATGATATTTTGTAATGTCTTTTGTTTGTCTTGTGATTTTTTAAATTTTGAATGAGCCACTATGGACTACGCTTATTTAACTTTCTGCCTATTTCTCCTTTTTTTTTTGCTTCTATATCTTTCTTATTCTGGCCCGATGTTTCTCTTTCCTCTCCTCAGTCCAAATGTTGGTCTTGTGACTTTATTTTTTTATTTCAGTGTGTTGTGTTGTGCAAGCTGCCTTTCATTTCTTTTTGCGATAGTGTTATAGAAGATACTATATCCAGGGTATAGAATGTATGATCTGATAGCTAAATTCTGCTTATGAAAGTCTTGGTTTAAAAAAAAAAAGCTATAATTATTACAGACCTATCATTTTTGCAGTATTTTGAATGCTCTATCCAAAATAGCTAAAACAACTTTGGCTTTTAGATGTCGATAACTTTGCAAGAAAAATAATAATCTTTTATTGACATGACAAATAAGGCATTTCAACTAAAATTGGAATAATTTTGACTTGTTTGAATGCTAAGTAAAACCAGTAAATCTAAAGTTCATCCAATGTTCATTAGACAAAATTCAGTTTAATCAAAAGAACTATTCAATGTCTTGGCATCTAAACAATAGTTATCACAGGGAATCTGAGTTTATTCAGTGTCTAAATGTATTCCAATAAACTGGTTGAATTAGGGTGGGAATTTGGCAATTTGTTGTAACAGGTGTCAGTTAACACTGACTAAACTGTAAGAATACATGGGGGAGAGAAGGCTGTTATTTAGTTTACTCTATGTGAATATTTTAAAGCGTGGAAATCATTTAATGACATTATTGAATTAAAACCTTGAAAAGGACAAATTAAGACTTTCACAGGAGGAGCATGACACACTCTTGGTGGGAGGCATGCTCTCTAACATTCCCCATATCCATTTGCACCCTAGGCTGAATTTTCTAGATTAACAACATTTTAGACGACTATAATTGGGACCATAATGAATATCTTAGTGTCATCGCTGGCAGAGGGATGAGTGGGATACATTCCCCCAGAAGTATTATTCTAATGTCATATGTTACTATTAACATAAACAACATGAGATGTACACTAAATCTTCCAATCAATATACTTTAGGTATATCATGGCATTGCCAGTATGAGTGGAGCTTTAGTTCCTTTTGTGGACTGAAAAAATGGCACAGAAATAATTGAATAATGTTTTCATTTGCTATAATCTTAAGTCTAATGAGCATTATGAAATTGGTAGAATGTGATAATTAAGAATAATGGTTAAAATAATTCAGTAGACCTTTTCAAATTATGTGACATTTTCTTGTGTTGAATAGTTTTTCAGGGTATTTTATTGAATTAATGAAAAACTTGACCATTTTTGATCTACTTTATCCACCTTCAACTTTCTTTAACTTCATATCTAATGACACTATCATGACTAATAGTGTCAATACTGTATTAAGATCAATTAAAATTGTGGCTTAAATTAAAATTTCTTGAATTTTCTAGTCTTTCTAGTATTAAAAGCACTTCTTTTGCCCTCAAAATTGTTCATGCCAGAAATGTCCATAATTTATTATGTTCTTCTTGGAAAGTTTTTGCTTGTTTGTAGCATTGTCTCTGCTTATAAGAAGTTTCTTTTTTTCTATTTTCAGATTGTGAGAAATGGGAGATCGATATAATATTCACAGTCAATTGGAGCATTTACAATCCAAGTACATTGGAACAGGTCATGCTGACACAACAAAGTTTGAATGGCTTGTAAATCAACATCGTGACTCGTATGCTTCATATATGGGTCATCATGATATGCTGAACTTCTTTGCTATTGCCGAAAATGAAGCCAAAGCCAGAGTTAGATTTAATCTTATGGAAAAAATGTTGCAGCCTTGTGGACCTCCTCCTGAGAAACCTGATGATTAAATATGTATTGGTAATTTTATACATTTCATCATCCTATTTAATAATTTGTGAAGGTACCCTTGACATACATATGTTTTGACTGAAATGTGCAAAAAAGAATTTACTTAGCCAAAATTGTTATTTTTTTCTGACACTAGAGTAAATTAATAAAGTTTTTAAATGCCAAAATTTTATTTTTCATATCTTAATTCTTTTTAGTATCTTTCCTTTCCCTGATCCAATATTTTCATTTAAAGAAATATATCTTCCTTTGGTTCCTGAATTTATTATTCCCAATATCCACTTCTCTTAGCAAACATTTTACCATGAATTCCCAAGTAACATAATTTCACCCAACTACAAAAGTAGCAAAATTACAAATTTAATTTTGAAGTTGTTCATAATTGAAAATTTACAAATAAAATAATTTTTGAATTTAAAGTTACATTCATTGAAATTATATCTTAAATGTTTATAAATGATTATGTAATAATAAAAAAAGACATGATTACAGTGATCAACAAAATTTAACTTTTTGTATGTTAAATGGAATATACATGGTACCATATGGAAAATGGTGTTCTGATTTCAAATTTGTGGGTTATTTGTCATGGGTAAGGTTTGTTTGTAATAAGCAATTAAAAAGTATACACTGTTGTTAAGTTATTGGTTTTCTTTCCTTATAACTATATCAATCAAAATGTAATTTGGAACAATTGTTTACCATATTACATTTGATATAACCGTGTTTAGTGTTTGCTGTTAGTCTGCAAGAATATCCCTGCATCCATCAGTCTGCATTATTCCTTATAAAATTTTTCCATAGTTGCAATGTCTTGGTGGAATCATTCACCATGTTTGTCACAGCGCCGAGAATTTCAGGAAAGAAGTCTTTATGTGTTAATACAGAAAATGTATGTTAAGGAATGTGTGACATCCCAGAGATTTATAATTGTGAATGGGTTTCGACACTATTTCTTCATAGGTTTCAGCTTTTCTGTAACCTAGGAATTTTGTTACCACCTTTTGAAGTGAAATCCATGATGCCGTGCCAATACTATATTAACTTTCCTCAAAACCATGATCCCTAATAAGCTACTTCATTTGTGATCCTACAAATATACCCTTCTTTATTTTCACCCAAATGATCCTTGGGATTTGGTTTTTAAGTATGTGAAACCTGGCCCACTTTTGTCTATCAGCTTCACAAAACTTTTCGTGAATCCTAGTTTGGTGTGCATGGGAGGAAGATGTGTGTGTGCCGCATTAAAAGGGGTTCCAAAGTTACATTTTTGTCCGAAACTCGGATGTCGTTGATTGTGCTTCTTCACAAAATGATTTTTGCTATCTTCGCTATCCCACTCACATAGAAAACAGCAACCTGTACATTAACTTTGTTGGAGACCTAGCAAAAGAGCAATAACTTTCAAATCGCCGCACCGTATGCATATACATTCCAAGAATACTATGAATAAATGAATGAATGCTATTGTATCTTTGTTAACAAAAGTTTCATGTGTGTTTCAGTTTTACGTCCCTTGCTGCATTGGCAAGAGGAATAGCTTGTTTCTCATTTCCGATATAAATAAACAAGCTAGGCTTTTTAACTTAGTTAAGAGGAATCTATGATCAACCTTAATTTCTTAGGATCATGATGAACTCCCAAAGTACTCAGTAATGCATCAACATTAGTACAATTCATTATATTGCCTTCTGAGAGCAGGCATCTGAGATTTTGTTCCCGTCGGCAATACACAGTAAATGTAGTTCCCTTCTGAAGAAGGTTCCAATCCTTTAATCGAGACTCTCAGTTCTGGCTGATCCTTCTACAAGTTAAAATCACGAAGTAGATGTTCTGTTTCGATGCCATTAGATATTCTACCGAAACGTGTGTCTTCAATATTGTCCGTTTCGGTACATATCTTTAAATCTTCATCTCCAGTTTTCGGAAAGCAAACTCAAATTCCCCGGTGGCGCTAGGATTGGAAGGTCGTCACTGTAAGTCACAAGCCTGACAGCTGAAAGGAAGTTGCGATATTGAATGGTCTTGCTTGTGATTCCAGCGACTTTGGTAATACAGAAATAACAGCCTGTGGAATGATCCTTTGATTCCCTCCATGCCATGAGAATTGCTAATGGCTATATCGCCAATTACCAAGGCATCTCTGTTACATAAGAGGCACAGCAAATATAAGGAGTCGATGATTTGTTCTGATCCCCGATTTGACACTAGTCATACAAGTTATGTGCCTTTCTTCTTAAAGGAGTAATATTCTGCCTTTGGCTCTTCAATGTTAGCTATTTTACACCACACACATAACAGCAATTGTTTGGATGGTTAACTCCTTGCCGAAGCATTGCAAGGAATCTGTTTGTACAAAAATTAACATCAGAACGCAACGGATAGACGAGTCGTGCACTTCAAAGATATCACCTTTCTCGCTCGACACGCAGGGTGTAACTAACAAGTTGTGACCCAGGTATACAACACGAGTTGACGCGTCGTTTACGTGGGTCACTGCAATTCACTCCGCAATGCCCGAAGTTGCTCAACTGATTTGACCGGTCTGGCATCTATTTCATGTCTTGATTGGAATCGCCAAAATCCTACGTTGTTGGCGATCACCGTCTTGTAATAAACCTGCAAGTAACTCAGCATAAATGATTAGTGACTATCGAAACATAGTTTTAGTTTATGAACATTATTGTTGACAACGTTGAATATTACACGAAAACTTAACCCCATGAGCAAGTTTTGTAGTTGTATTCGGTTTTAGCGTAGCAAAATACATAAGAAGCAGCTAGTCATTTGACAAAATCACTTACGACCAGCGTTATTTAACTTTTTATTAAAACGTCTGCAGACTCCCTTTTTCTACAAAAGAATTTGCCACAGATGTCCTTAGAATTTCAAAGAACCCTCAGGAGTCCATAGAAATAACTTAGGGAAACATTGTGTTAGAGCAGCGATGTCCAACTTGCAAGGTCCCAAGGGCTACAAATAAAACCTTTAGTATGGTTGGGAGCCATATTTTCATTACTTGGGTAATCCACACCTGACTTCCCCACAATGTTGATCTCGGAATTTTGCTGGGTTGCTCTGAAACGAGAAGGGGGGGGGGGAATCGGACGGTGCATGGTATCAGACTGTACCATGCATAACGCAGAGATACACTTTGGGATGATTTTGAATTTCTGAATTTACTAGAAACAATCCTTAAATCTAAACTTTACCTATTTTAACATTGAAGGGGGGTAGACCCCCGCATGTCGCGTGTGCTAGGTACACATTATTCTCACTAGTCATGGTTGCACGGGACTTTCACTTTTGACTAATAAACTTTCGCGGGCTACAATAAATGGCACCGCGGGCTGCCAGATGGCATCCCTGTTTTAGAGTATTCCCTGATTATTTGGCTTTGACATTATTTCTCGTGAAGAGGAATTTGTTAAATCCTTCCTTCCCATTTTACGGGAAAATTTGTATTTCTCTGTTCTAATTTTGACATTGCACTAACTTTTTTCAAGCCAAGTGCTCCTTATCGGATTGCAACTTTTCTCTTAGGGAAAATTACTTTTGTTCAGTAACTCGGCACTTGTCTTTTTCAACCGCCACCTTGCAAATCTGCTGACAGACTGAGGCATATTTATCAATCTGTTTGACGCATTGGATTCAGTGCTGGCGCTAGGCATGGGCACATCGGTGGATCGGCCGAGCATCACCAGTTAAAGGGCCCGACTGATGGGGGAAAAATAGTAAAATAAAATAAAAGAACCTAGAACTCTAGAAAATAGTTCTCGTAATTTTATAAGTTGTGGTACAGTAGTATGATATTTCATAAATTTTTCAATTAATTGTTTACCTTAAATAGTTAATTATAGTAATTACTTATAACGTAGGATTCTATGTAATTATTCAAGTCACATTAAAAAAAACAAGTTCCACTGAAATTCATATTTATTATTTCATGTACCTAGGAACAAGTGATTTCATTAAACACATTTTTTTACCGTTTTAAGCTCTCCGTGGAAATTATTTAATCACTTAAGACTTACAGAAAACTTTTATTGAAAATATATTTCGAAACACTTTTTCTAGCTTAAAGGATGTAATTTTGTTATTTGTTGGAGTAATACAATTTTTATAGTTTCTTAGATTCACTTTACGATTTATTAATTGGGAGCGGTGGGGGGGCGCTGGAGTTTCAGCATTGCCCCGGGCCCAAAATGTGTAGCTCCGACGATGGTTGGATGCAATCAATGTCCTCATTTTGGTCTTTTGTATCATCAACTTTCATGTCGTATTCCATTGTCCTGGCCTGCCCGGACAGATACTCCTGGGTATTATTTATTAATTTATTCATAATTATTATTAAGAAGCAGCATTCATTCACGGCCGGCGAGTTTCATAACCGCCGTGACGGGCAGGCCGCCTGCGGGTACAGCAGCAGTGGCTCCCTGCCCCCACGCCTCACAGGCTCACGCGCTCTGCAAGCACGCGCCGGAGGCCTTATATCCGCGCGTGGCCGACCAGCGATCAACAGATGACTTCAAATGAAATTTTTCGAAAACTCAAAAATTTTCTGTGGAAAAAGAGCTTCAAAATTCAAATTTACAGTTGCGCTGAAGCGCCGTTTTCGTAAAAACAGCTACATATTTTCCCAAAGAAAATTGCAATTAAGGACGAGGTTTTACTGTTCTTTAATATTCATAAAGTAATATTTCCGTTATATTATTAGAAAAACGAAAAATTATGAAAATTTAAAAAAAATGGCCTTGGGACGACGATAGATGGCAGCTGGCAAGAGTATGTGACAAGTTCGTATAGCTAGACGAGATCAAAGAAAATAGAAAACTAATACGGGAAAGTGTGTCATTCTGTAGCACCATTAGTTTTCACTCTATTGTGGAAGTACGATCCGGAGTGGATTGCGGAAGTGCTGTCATTGCTTTCCCTTCTTTATAACAAAAAACCCTCCGGAAAACTCACAAAAATATTGACGCAAACTCAACATACTAAGAAGTATATTATCGTAAATCTACAATAATGACCACGACATGGCCATCGTGATCTAAACAAAAGAACGCCCAACGAACCTTTTTCATCCGCGTTGAAGGAAACTGGTCTATCAGCTGCAGCAGCCGGAACTCGGCGGTCGGCCATCAAGGGCCGTGAGATACAGCGTTGTTTTGATCCCCGGTCGCAGAGTCCAACACTCGAGTTTCCCTCAAACGAACAAAAAGGTATTTATTATTTTAATATCCTGGTATCTTCCATTGAACCTTCTATTGTCTTAGATGTGTGGCGTGTTATTAAATAAGAAAAGTGTACCATAGTTTAACGGACTAAAATTTAGGAAGAAATATTATGTTTTAATTTAGTTTAAGGAGACATACTATCAGTTTCTCTTGTTTTCATAGTCATAAGAAAAAAAACTTTTATTGATTGACTTAAATTTTTTCTCGATAGACTGTCATTATTAATGGCTCAGTAATAGGTATTGCATTTTTCTCATCTCAGAATATTGGCAATATTCCGTTAAATTTTACAGAGAAACACACAATAACATTTAGGGCCATCCGTGAAGGTCTTGCTTCCGATGAGACTGCTTTGTCAGCGGGTGGCAGTTAGGTTTTATGCAATTGCGTATTTTGT